AAAATGACCAGAAGTGGTTCAGTTGAAGTGCAGGGATATAAAAGCAATTATTCCCGGTGGAGAAGTGTCTTTTGTGTCAGATCTTTATACAGGTTAGTAAAATTTCACTGGATTAAATATTGTTTTTTTTTTAAATTAAGTGTACACTTTATAACATGAATGTTCTATATATTTGTTAATAAATACTTTGGTTATGTCTTACAAAACATGGGTGCAAACATACACCATACTAAATTGATGGGAAATAAATCTACTTTGATGTTGTTAGGTAAAATGTCTTCATTGCTGTGACAATAATACTTACTTAATAATTCTAGAAATTTTAAATGAATATTGTGTGTCATATACTGATATTCACATTTATTGTATTCTCTGTAGGGTCTGACTATTTGTTCAAATTTACCAGACAAACTGGAAATGCAGTGATAGCTGATAAGGGATTTGACATACAAGATCAGCTAGCACCCAGGGGAAACATTTTGAATATCCCACCATTCATGTAGGGTGCATGGTCAACAAATGTCTGTTCAAGATGTTGTTGCAACCCGGAATATTGCATCGCTTCGTATCCATGTGGAGAGATGGATGGAGAAGATAAAGAACTATCATATATTTGATAGACCAATTCCAGTGTGGACCAAATATTTTATGTATGTGCATTGCACACAAACTTTTGGCCACCTTTAGTGCCTGAAACACACATATAGTATACAAGTAAGATGACCACTTTATTGCAGTAAAATAAACACAGTAAATGGTGTAATATATAAAACTGGTTTTATTACATGTTAACTCACAAGGTTTCTAGTAATATGAATATTGTATAAAAGCAACTGAGCAGATTTAAAAATTCCTTTCTCTGCATTGAAAAACATTAAATGTAAATTAATTCAATAAAAAAATACTTGAAAATACATGTATTGCAATATATTGTGTAAAATTAATTTATTTATATGGTTTTGAACTGGTTTAAATTACACCCCCTCTCCATTAAAACAAATTTTGCTGAATCATTTGTATTTCTATAGTTCAGGAAACAATGGTATGCCACATTTCACACGCCCTGTAAATAGTTCTGCAACCTCATTGTCCACATAAAATGACTACAATTTTGGAAATACCATAGTTGTTCGCAGTAAAACTGAAAACCTACGTTGAGCTGCAAGTTCTTTAATTGTAGGATTCGACACAGGGCATTTGATCTCAAGGTTTCCTACTGTCGGCTGGATAGATTGGTAATAAACAGGGAAATCAACACTAGCTGCCAGCCATGAATTTTCTGACATTATTGAAAGCCCAATCTCCATCACAGAAATTTCAGGGTAACCATTATTTTCTTATACTCTACATAAGCCTTTGATGCCTTGGGCTCAAATTCTGTGCCATGCTTGCAGGCCTTTGATGAATAGTTTTGTTTGCCGTAACCGATGATTTTTATCTACAAATTAGCTTTTGTTGTCTTTTTCTGATTGAAAATGGTACCAACAATGGATGCAGTTATTTCACCATGCATGCGTTTAAACCAATTTTCATTGTCAGATTGACCTCTAGTATCATGTTCTATTTGATCAACTTCTTCATTTGCCAGTCGTTGATTTTTTTTTCAAAATCAAGACATTTCTTCTTAAATTTGACATCTTGGGTTAACTTGACAGACGAGTTTGGCTTGGCTTGATTCAGACCAATCTTGTGTTGTTCCTGGTTGAACGTTTGGTTCAGAGTGATTACTAAGTATACCCTGTGGAATGTCTGGCTGATGGTTAGGTTCAGGATGAATGTCAGTTGTATTCTGTGTTGTTTCTGGCTGATTATCTGTGGTGGACTGAATATTCAATGTACCCTGTTATGTGGTTGGCTGATCGTGAATTATGTCTGGTGAAGCAGAAGTACTGGCCAAATGAAGTTCTGTTTCCACAAAACTGGTAAGTAATCGTGATCAGTCAGAACATCAGAAACAGACGGAGCAAATGTAGAAATGCATATGATTTACCTTATGATGTTGTTGCACTTTATCACGATTGTTTTGTCTAAGATGCATTGGTCTGGGATCAATCTGTCTATTTATTTGGTTTCTCTGGATCATGCTTTTGAAAC